TATATATATATATATATATATATATATATATATATATATATATATATATATATATAATTACATATGCTTATATATGACCATGTAAAGATAAAATTTATATGCGTATAATTGTATGTAATTATTTTTCTCGATTATATAGAATAATAATATACAAAACATAACCTATTATACATATAACTGTTTCATGAAATTAAAGAATCGGTAAAGCAAATAAGATATTCTAAATTTTTTTAAACATTGAAAATATTTGTGAATGTAATCTTAGATTATAATTATAACAGAATTATAAAATATAAAAACATTTTCCATGTTTTCATTATAATGTGTATTTTTTTAATATATTAATGAACTAAATTTGACCAGAATTTAGTTTCCCATTACTTGATTCATAATTGAGGCAATTATCTTAGTAATAAATAATGGAACGTTATTTAACAAATAATGATTTTTGTTTCTTCAACGTTTTTATTAATGGAAAACTTATTCTATATGAAAAAGAAAAATAATATCATCTGCTCTGTTTTTGTAACTTTGCAGACACTCATCCTTACATGTCATTCTATAATATTAAAATTAACTTTGTTCCAACTTTATTATTGCAGGTCCCAATTTTGTCAGCTCATTCGCATATCAAGATTATGTGTTTTTCTTCTATCGCGAAACAGCTGTCGAATACATGAATTGTGGAAAGGTAAATAAATTACCTCTTCTTTTAATTTGTATTTGTATCGTATTTTTTTTAAATTTAAGTTTACTATTAAAAAATTATGAGTGTGCATGATGAAATTTTTAAAAATTAGGACGTTTGTAAAAGAACGATTTTATCTATAACACAAGCTTGCAAAATTTAGGGTTGAAAATCTTTTGAGAATAATTGACGGTTTCCTATGTAATTTTGTACACTGAATTCAAATATAATAGGCCGCAGAAATTGCCTATCACAGTCAGGTTTTTAAGATAAATGGGATAAAATGGTAAAAAAATGACGAGTTTGGCAATTTTTATAAAAGAATTACAGAGAAAAGAAATTTTTTTCTACATTTTCATAAACGGCATCTTATAATATTATTTTTCTACTTCAAAATCGATTTTTATTTTTTAACGTACGATTTGTTTTCACCGAGATGTACTAATTAGAAGTTATGAATTTTTGAAAGTATAAGAACAGAATACACAGGACTGTGAAGGATATTAAACGTTGTTTGACAATTATTTGTAGTTTCCTACGTAATTTTGTATGCTGAGTACATCTGCTCGTAACATACCTAGCACATCAAAGCACGTTCCAAGATATTCTAACGTAATAGTGCTAAGATGGTCGTTTTTTTTGTCATTTTATCCCATTTGGAATTTCGAATTTTATATTTTTCGGCTTATAACTCATAATTCGTAATCAAAAAACGTCTTACACACAAAATTGAAGGAAATCAATACGATACAGCGTTCAGTGTTTGAAAGGATCAATGTGTTATATAGTTCAGGAATATGGATTTTGTTAACACACATTCATCCTACTGTTATATGTTAATTGTTACTGTGCTGGATATTAACTATATGCATTTCTGTAGATTTTTTTTATGTAGAATTCAAATCTGTAGGCCAAATTGACGAATAGCTACACATTTTATAGTTTTTCTAGCCTTAAAATGACAAAACCGATTATTTTAGCACTTTAAGATTAGAATAACTCGGAATTCTGACATGCTAGGCACATTTTACAGATAGATTTAGCGCACAAAATTGCATAGGAAAGCACTATTACTTCTCTAAAGACCGAATCTCGTAGTGTGCAATTGATTGCATGCTACTTTATATATAAGAATTTATCATTTCTTGCTGAGACTTAAAACAAGATGGATTCGAGATATTTCATGCTGTACAGAGTGTACAGCGTAACGATCTATATGGCTTTTTAGACACTTTCGATGGTTTAAGGAAAAGATTGCAAAGTGAATTTTCAGCTGCCTCGAACAGGCTACAATTTGCGATAACAAAAGATAAAAAAACTAGTTTTCTTTTATAAAGAAATCAAGATCATCTTGAATTTTTTATTTAGTACCATGCACTTTTCTTACATAATAATATAGAGGATTTTAAGATGAATTTGACACACTATCACAAATATCATATTTGTTAATATTTAATATCAAATGTGCAGTATTATTTTGGCGACACTGGTAAGCAAAATGTAGATCTCACTGCTATCTTCAGGATACTTTTAGAAACCGTATAAATAATAATAAAGAAATCGTGTAAAAGTAATAAATCGTTATAAGTACACATTGACCAATTCGATGGCCGCGCTTCGTTCTCCAGATTTATCTCCAATAAATTTTTTTTTATTTCTGAAAGCTCTCTCGTGTATCAAACACTAATTAATAATATTTAAGATCTTCGAGAAAAGATAATTACAGTTTGTGCAAATTTAGATTCAAATATCATAATAGCTGCTACATACAGCAATTTGTTAAAAAGAATATAATTTTGTGTTGCAGAGGAGGAGACAAGCAATTTGAATATTTGCTTCCATAAGTTTGAGTTTTTCTATTGTTTTACTATTGTTGTTAATAAAAGTAACATTTGTGATAGTCCGTTGAATTCATTTTAAAGTTTTTTTATAGTAATATAAAAAAGTGAATTATGTCATTTAAAAAATTGAAGATGATTTTGATTTCTTTATGAAAAAAATTTTTTTATTTTTTGTTATTGAAAGTTCTAGCTTTTATGAAACAGTTAAAAATTCACCTTGCCACCATTTCTTTAACCCTTTGAATCACACAATTAAAGGAGCAAATAAATTGTCATATCATATATGCTATTATAAATTTTTGGAGTCGCTAAATTCAAATCTGTTATAAGATTTTTAAAATTCAAGATGGTAGATCCAATATGGCGAATTTTCTAAAATTATAGAAAATGTAATCTATCTGTATGCATGTTTTCAAATTTCGAATATAAAGGTTTCAGAAGGTACAAATTTAAAAAATGTCATAATTAAAAAAATAATTAAAATAGCAAGTCCAATATATATAACAGACAAAATACTCGAAAATTAAATTTATTTGCATAAATGTTTTCAAATTTAATTTGTCGCTCGGAGACGAATCTTAAACAATTATATATAATAACTAAAATAATTCAATCTTAGAAATGGAATACTAAAGTTTTACTGTACTGTGTAAATAATAATTTGATAATATTCTATTGGATCAATTATATTATATCTGTCATACTGGAACTACCATGTGTATGTTAAATATAAAATTTTATTAGAAAATTTGAAATTAGCAGCTCCAAAAACCTTTGTACATAAATAAACAATGCATAAACCTTAATATGCTATCGAAAAATTATTTTTATTTATAAAAACCTTTATTTTCCCTACTTTGTATCATAAATAGTTAAAAACTAAACCTGTAAAAATCTGCAAAAACTGTATTTTATTCCTTATCTACATTAATAAAAAAAAATTTTACATGTTTATCTACAGAGTAAGGAAAATGTTCCGGAACACCTCAATATTTCGGAAACTAAGCATTTTGGAAAGAAATATTTCAGATAGAAATTGTAAGGTTTAAAAAAATCTATTTACTGATCTTATCAATTTGACCTTGGATGGCGTCGCCAAAGTCAGAACAAAATCAACTTTGCTTTTTTAAATAGAAACATGTATTTTTTTTATTATGGAATTTTATTCTACGTATAGAAACAAACAACTTTTGTTTGAAAAATTTTTTTATACGACCTCTATTTTCTAAGATATTTACGGAAATATCTACAAAATCATTGATTTCAATAATTTTTTACTCGAATTCTATCAACTTTATCGAAAAATATCAAGAGATAAAAATTGTTATTTTGTTCTCATAGAGCTTTGAGAATTTTTTCAGAGCTTTGTATTAACTTTTTAATTAACTTTTTAATACTGCATTTTCTTGCATTTTCTTGAAGTATTAAAAAGTTAACATAAAATTCAGAAAAAATTCTCAGAGCTCTATGAGAACAAAATAAATAATTTTCATCTTTTGATATTTTTCGGTAAAGTTGATAGAATTCGAGTAAAAAATTATTGAAATCAATAATTTTATAGATATTTCCGTAAATATCTTAGAAAAGAGGTCGTATAAAAAAAGTTTTCAAACAAAAATTGTTTGTTTCTTTACGTAAAAATCCATAATAAAAAATACAGGTTTCTATTTAAAAAAGCAAAATTACCTTGTCCTGACCTTGGCGACGCCATCCAAGGTCAAATTGTATAAAACCAGTAAATAGACATTTTTAAACCTTACAATTTTTATTTGAAACATTTCTTTTCAAAACGCTTAGTTTCCGAAATATTGAGAAGTTCCGGAACATTTTCCTCACCCTCTGTAAGTTATATATAAATGAATTTAGTGTAAAAAAGAGCATTTTTGGAAATTTATTTTTTATAAAAAAATATATATTAACAATATTAAAAAAATGACTGTTGGCGAATCAAGATTAAACGTCTATATAGTCGAAAATAAAAAAAAGTTCAAAGTATTTATTGATAATTACGGCATGATATAATTTAAAAAAGTAGATAAAAAAGATGTGAGATATATATCAAACTGTGAGTCAAAGAGTTAAACCGTCAAAAGTGTTTGAAAAGTCATGCGGACCATTACGCTAAACATCCTGTATGTCAGAGTATATATTACTAAAACATGTTTTTATATCATCAAGATTATTGCATTATTATACATATAAGATGTCTCAGAACAATCTACGAAGCTCTCATGAGAACATAGAGCAGGTCGAGATAAACATAAAAGTCCTGTACTGTTTTGCGATATTCGTAATAATAACCGAGAAATTAATTGCGAAAGATTAAGGAAAAGAATGTGCTGAATGGTAGAGGACGGACCGCTCGAGTCACAGCGCAGCCCAATAATATAGCGCGCGGATGTCGCGCGTGGCGATTGGAAAACAATGCACCACTGTCTATACTTGTACCACTGTGCTCCTACATTGCCCCTAAGTGCGGTGCGACGTAGGAGCGTAGCGGTATAAGTATAGGCAGTGGTGCGTTGTCTTCCAATCGCCATGCGTAGACATCCTCGCACTATATTACTAGGCGGCGCTGTGACTAAAGCGGTCCGTCCTCTACCATTCAGCACACGCTTTTCTTTAATCTTTCGCAATTAATTTCTCGATTATTATTACGAATATCGCAAAACGGTATAGGACTTTTATTTTAACCCGCTCTATGATCTCACGAGAGCTTCGTAGATTGTTCTGAGACATCCTATATGTACAGGGTGTCTGACTCGTTCCGTACCAGAGCTAACATATAGCTAGAATAAATCGGGGTGAGTAATGGAATTGGTGTCTTTTTTTAAACAACACGTAAAATTTCGAGTTATTAAATAAAGTAGATAGGCTAATCAGAAAGCGGCAACGTGATAGGCGGGACATATGGCTCGCCGCGGCCGACAAAGGAAATGGCCAATTGCTCGCGGGCCTATCTCATAGGCCTAGAGGTGGTGACTGCGTCTTACTCTGATACCCTTGGGCTTATGAGATAGGTCCGCGAGCAATCATCCTTTTTCTTCGCCGTCTGCGGCGAGCCATATGTCCCGCCTGTCACGCCGCAGCGATCTGATTAGCCCATCTACTTTATTTAATAACACGAGACTTTACGTATTTGTTTAAAAAAGGACACCGATT